AATGATCTTGTTGTAAATAGTCTCTCAAGATTCTATCAACTAAATTCTTAAGGGATGTACTTCTTTTAAAAGTCTACAAACCAAAAAAATAAGGAAACTTAAAACCTCTCTATAAAGAACAATAGGAGCAAAAGTCATATTGCAAGGTGTGCAAAACATGTTTCATTCAACCCTGTTTTATATTGGTTTTTAAAACCAAAACTAATGCATAATTAATTCTATTTATTATTTAAACTAATTCCCATCATTTTGCCTAAGTTCGCATCATATATATATATATAGAAACTAATAGATTTTATCTTAAAAACTAGATATTTTTACTTAGAAAATAAAACTATTTAGGAAATGGAAGGTTACCATTCATACTTTTAATTCATGAGCTGAAAAAAAAGAAGCAATTTTTTATAGGTCAAGGTATTAATTTATACTGGTTTTTAAAACCAAAACTAATGCATAATTAATTCTATTTATTATTTAAACTAATTCCCATCATTTTGCCTCAAGTACCCATCATATATATATATAGAAACTAATAGATTTTATCTTAAAAACTAGATATTTTTACTTAGAAAATAAAACTATTTAGGAAATGGAAGGTTACCATTCATACTTTTAATTCATGAGCTGGAAAAAAAAGAAGCAAATTTTTATAGGTCAAAGTATTAATTTAAACCAAACCTAAACTTAAGCCCAAACCATGTCTAAAGCTCAGACCTTCGCATACGGTTTAAGTTCATAGCGCATTTTGCTTAGATTTGCTTCTTTTTAAAAGATTTAGTGTTCTATGGGCTCATTTTTAAGTTCTCAATTTCTCATTCTATTATCTACTAAGAAAAATTAATGTTCTTTCAATGTGGATAGAGGGTATTGAGCTTCACAAAACATATTATCGATACATAAGATCATGATAACCAAATGTAAGAACAAATATTCGTTGGAAAAAGGTCTGAATATTTGAAAATAAAGTTGTCACTTAGTATTATAGCTATTAGAAATCCTAACTGCCATACAAAGACCTAACATGAAGAACTGGTTATGCTAAGAAAATATACTATTATCCTTAAAGTATCATACCCAAGGTAAGTTGCATTGTTGATTTTATCTTAAATTGCTAATGGTCTGTTGTATTTAAATTACCAGTGATCTATCTATTGGATCTATTACAATGAGTTAAACTTTAGTATAAAGTTCAATACTTATTCGTTCTAAAAGTTTGGTTAAGTATTTTAACTTGGTCAAACCAGATCATAACTTAAAGTCACGTTTATAAATGTATCAAGGGGCTTTGTTAGGTCTTTGTAAACCTAGCCAAAGCCCTAGAAAAGGTCCGTGAAATATGCATTGAAAGGATTATGTATCATAAAGTACCTAATATATTCTCAACTCTGGTGTTATGAAATATAAGATCGAAAATACCTTTAATTGGCGAGTATTTTAAGAAATTTAGTTTTACCTTTAGCCAAAAATTTCATCGTTATTTTTTTAAGGAATTATTTTGAGAGGTTATTCCTCCTCATATCCAAGGATTAACTCACTATGAGTTCATATACAAAATGATTAAAAATGAATAATTTTTTTTTTAAAGATATCCAAGTATTGGCTTGATATAAGTTTATATACCTAAATATTAAAAGTGTATAACAAAATATTATTTTTTTAATTAGGTTCTAAAATGGTCGTTGGATTTGTATGGATGACGAAAGCAGATTTTAGGCCATTCATGAATCGTTATAATTCAAGCTTGCAAGTTTGTCAATATGTAAATCTAATAATATGTAAACAGGTTTATAAATCTAACAATTCAAAGTTAAGTTTTGGTGTTCTTCCATCCATTCTAACCTTTTCACACACACACATATGAGAAAAAAAATCATCCATTCTAACCTTTTCACACACACACACACATATGAGAAAAAAAAATTGGATGAATTTAGCCAAGGTCTAAAGCTTAAAATCAAACCATTTATCAATTCAAGATCTCAAAAACTCAAACAATACTAATAATCTTCAACATATTCAATAATATTACACACCATCCAATTTTTAGTTGCAAACTCACTAACTTGTTAATTAATTTAGAATTTTCTCAATCAAATTGACATGAAAACTTCATGAATCATCTACAACCATCACATAATATCAAGTTCTTTAAACACTAATGGTTAAATAAATCTTAATAAACCATTTTAAAATCAAATATTCTCATCCAATTTGAATTATATAAACTTAAAATTTATTACCAACAACTCAACCATTTAAACCAACCAGCATAAAAAATCAACACAAGCTTTATTAATTTCACAAACTATATTCAAATCACATACTAATTCAAAAAAGAATCACCGGAAATAACATCTCACTCCTATAAAATTAATCCAAGGTTTATAAAGTTTTAACCACAACTCAAATCAAATATTATTCCATTGTAATCTATTAACAAACATATAAATTATAAAAACCATACACAATATTTAACAAAAAATAATCCATAAACAAAATAAAATTAAGGTGTCATGATTTGAGGGCTCAAAAGTTCAACCTTTCAAGGTGGTTTGTTTAGGTTTGGAGCTATTAGAATTAGGTGAAGTAATGATGGTACACAACAGTGTATATATGTCTTTGTTAGTGATGTAAGAGGCTTGTGGAGGAGCTCCTTTACTTGTCTTCTCTGGTTTTTTTTCTCCATTTCTAGATTGTTTATGATAATAATTTTTGTTTATCATGGGAGATTTAGAGCTTCAAAGTTCTGGTTTTCTTGTTGTTTTTCCTTTCCTTTTCTCTTTTAGCTCTCTTAGACTATCTCTTTTCAATGGGGTGCAATAGTTGCTAGCATTAAATATTGGAGGAGGAGCTTTATGGTGGCTATCACTATCTCTGGTGATGTTTAATGGACGAAAGAAGATGACAGTGTTGTTATGAAAGATAATAAGGAGATCGGGAGATATATGGAGATTATATATTTTTTTTATTCTTATTTATTTAGAGAGAGATACATTTTTGTTGCTTGATTTTTGGAAGAAAGGGTAACTAGTTTTATTTTTTATTTTGAGGGAATTAGGGAAAGTGATAAGTTCTTTTTGCTTTTGGGGAGAGAGAAATGGTTTTTTGATGTTTTAGAGAGAGGGACCAACTTTTGTTTTTTTTTTTTTTATATATATATAGCAAAGTGTTATAGAGAGATAAGTTTTTGAGATTTTTTGATGGGTTTCCTCTTTTGCTTTGTGTAGAAGATTCTCCCACATTGTAAAAAAATAGGTGGTCCTATTTATACTAATTATGAAAACTCTTTTAACATTTAAGTGCTAATAAATTCCACACTTTTATAATCTTTTTATATTTTCTAAAACTTTCTAGTGTTTTCTAAAATTTTCCTTGTTTTTTTTAAATAAAATTTTTTCCCCTCTGTTTTACACAAAATATATTTTCCCCCTTTTGTTTTGAACTTCAAATAAATTTGACTTACTAAAAAATATCTTGTTTGATTTATTGACTTTTTTAGTCTTTTATTGAATTGTTTTGAAAAATTTGTAAATATAAAAATAAGAAGTGAAATGATTGAAAATTACAAAATGACCAAAAATTGGCCAAAACATGTTAAAAATGTATGTTTAGTATTTTTTTCATTTCTTTTGAAAATATAAGGGTTAAAAATTAGATTAAAACATATCTTGATCAACAAGTTTTTGAGATAAATTTATTATTCTAACTCAATTTCTTTTAATTATGTTAATTTTTGTTGTAGAATAATTTCTAATAAAATTTTAACCTTAAAAATAAATCAATTTTATTTTTAATTTAGTTTCAAATATCCTCATTAATCATATTTTCAAAATATCCTTCAAGTTGATCCATTGTTGATCTTAACTTAACTTCTTGCATAATTGCTTGCATGCCCTGTGTGTCCCTTCTAGCGATTTGTTAAAGGTTTGTACCTTAGTTATCTTGGAACTTTGATGGTGATAGCTCATAAGATATGCTTTATCAACAAGATCGTCTTTAAATTCCATGAAAATTAGTGTTTGCAATAGTAATACGATTATAGACAAGGAGAGACGAGCGACTTGCGATAATGGATTGATAGGCACATGCCTTTTCCAACTTCTTTTCCTTTGGCGGCATAGCATTTAATAGATGAATTGCAGATAATAACAATTATTATATTTTTGTTTAAAATCAATTTTTTTTTATTTTAATATATCACTATCAAAAATATTTTTTTAAAATTAAAAAATATTATTTTAATATACTAAAAAAATAATTTCCAAAATAATCATTACCATGCTTATAAATACCCAAAATTCTAATTTATCTATCAAACTAAAAGGAAAAAAATAAAAAAATCATGAAGTTCACTTCAAGTAAAAGTTTATCTTGAAACCAAAGTATGAGCCCGGGACGTGCATGTAAATTATCTTGAAGTTTATCTTGAAACCAAAGTATGAGCCCAATTGGGACGTGCATGTAAATTATCTTAAAATCCAAATTTAAATTGAAAGATAATTTTACTTGGATTCTATACATATACATATAATAGAGTTGATAGAGTTTTAAAAGGACAATATACAAATATAATTTTTTTTAAATTAATTTTTTATAAATTATTTTAATCATGTTAATATATATATTTCAGGTGAAAGAGTTTATATTAAAAAAAGAATTTCAACAAAGTCTCAACTCTAAAAGTTAATGGACCACACTTGTAATTTAAAATTAAATATGTAAATTAACCATGAATTTAAAATAATTTTTCCAACAAAAAGTTAAAAAAAAATCATGAAGACAATCAATATCAGACGGTATTACACTAGTGCTAGTCTTCAACTTACAAGAAAAAAATATTGAAACTTACCATCACATGGTAATGTAAAATATACATGGATGATGGTTGCCAGCTTGAAGATTTTAAATAGAGACAATGTAATCAAAAGGATCCCCTAATTTTCAATATAAGTGGGCTAAAGATGACCCACAGAGAAGAGCTTAATAGGAAGCATTAAGTTCATGCTTGCTCATGGGCGGCCCCATTACGCATTCTAGAGCCGGGCATTATTGGGAAGGCATCTTCTTTATTGAAAGTGATTGATTTGGAATCCTGTCGAAAATAAAGGATTGAAAAGAAGAAAAATAAGATGAATGATGTTATGTAGATAAGAAAGAAGATAGAAAGGCACGGCAAAGCCAAGAGATAGAAAGGCACGGCAAAGCCAAGAGATAGAAAGGCACGGCAAAGCCAAGAGATAGAAAGGCACGGCAAAGCCAAGAGATAGAAAGGCACGGCAAAGCCAAGAGATAGAAAGGCACGGCAAAGCCAAGAGATAGAAAGGCACGGCAAAGCCAAGACTTTTCCTGCACATAGAAGTTCAAGAGAAATTTGGAGACGAGAGGAGAGAAGGAAAAGGTTAGAGATGAAGTTCTTGTTCCAGTGTCCTTGTTGCTCATGTTTCTGCTTCATGAAGCCTAAACAGGGAAGACCAAAGGTGAAGGAAACTACCAAGGAAGCGAAGAAAGAGTGATCATATATTAAATGCAACCACAACGTTGGTGCATAATGTCTGATCTACTTTTAGTGTATGGCTCTTATTCCTTGCTGGTTGTGATCTTGTAATTTGTACGTAGCATTATTTCTAATCCATATGAAATGCCTCTGCCTCTGATTACTACGATTGGAAATAAATGTTACCACTGCATTTTGTTTTTCCCGAGTTAAAACAATGCATCCTCCATTTTCTACTTCTGCTTGCATAATTGCCTGCATATCTGTTTGCCCTGTTAACAATTCTGGAAAATACAAATACTTACATCCATCTGTAAGACCTCTCTCTCTCTCTCTCTCTGTCTCTCTGTGTCTGTGTGTGGATAGGTATATTTTACATTACAAGCTCTTGTAATGGAGCTCACGTTACCCAGCTTGCTACACAACTGGGGTTATTTTTAGCTTTCGCGCAATTTGTTTTTTAAAAATGAAGGAAAATATTACATATTGGGTATGAATAACTCAGAACTCGTATCACATAATGAAGGTAAACATTACATATTGGGCATGAATAACCCATAGCAACATGTCTGGCCAGTGATGAGCTCATGCATGCTCCCAAGCGAATGAAGAGATCAAAGTATGCTAATCCGCGAGACAGCTAAATTGATTATATGTTTTAAGTTTGTTAATAATAATTACAAGTTTGTAAATTAATAATATTATATTAATAATATTAAAAACATAAAAGTAGGAAATAAAAAATAGTGTAAGTAAAAGTTTTCAGAGAAAATCATAGGGTACAAAATTGAAAGAAGAAGGGGGGTTTGACGGGATGTTTTCAATAATTTTTCAAAGGATTAATGTCGCTGGTCTCTTTCCATGAGACGTCAACATCCAATACCTAACGTTTTAGAATGGTTGGGATTGGAAAAGGACTTCAATTTGGTGCGCACTCAATTCTTGACGTAATGGTTAGGACCATAAAACTAAGGTTTTAAAACTGAAGTGTATATATACTTGAATGCCCACGCTTCTTAAAATATTGACGTTTACCAAAAATAATAGTAAGGCCTCCTGTTTTGCTGCAAACAGTGGCTACACGCAGACCTGGCTTACCGTACGCTAAGGCCTCCTGTTTTGCTGCAAACAGTGGGTACACGCAGACCTGGCTTACCGTACGTGTGTGTGTGTGTGTGTGAAACATGTAATTATTTTGATGACTTCAATTTCTTTGATTATAATATGATATAAGAGGGCCTCCTCCCATTGCCTGTTATGCTAAAACGATATATTTTCGCCCTCTAATAAACTTAAGAAATAAAAATAAATAAAAATCAATATCCCCTTGACACGAAAATCCAAATCAATCCCAGGTAACTAGCTGGCTTGTGATGAGCTGCAAGCTATAATAAAGAATCTTTAAAGCAAAAAAAAAAAAAAATATTTTTAATAATGTCATTAATTCCAATATAAAGGCAAATTTTTATCTAATTTGAATTTTAAATTAAATTATTTAAAAGTTATATTGATGTGATTTAGTTGATTACTTTATAAATTCAAAAACAATTTAGATAACTAATAAAAATATAATTTGATTTTATAAAGAATTTGAGATAATATTTTGTTTTAATATTAAGAAGACAATGTATTGAATTGATTCAAGTTTTATGATTTAATTCATCAAACTCGTGATCCGAGTTATAAACTATATTGTATTTAATAATTTTTTTTGTAATTTTTTTATATAATTATATGATAATAAAAATAGATACTCAAAAAATTAAACACCAATCAAATATTGCGATACTTGTTTGAAACTGCATTAATTTATTGAAAGTAAACTGAAACAAGTTATGAAGTCAATTCAAAATTAATCAAATATTAAAAAATAAAAATAAAAATAAAAAATTAATATTAAATAATAAAATTAAAAAACAAAAAAATGTAATATTAATGGATTATACCCATGTACTTGACTTTAATAAAAACACTCAAGCGCTCCAAGCTTGGAAGCCCAAGCTCGCGCATAGGTTTTTTTAATTTTTCCATAAAAGTGAATGATGAATCATCCACATCTGGATTTTTTTTATATGAATGACAACATAAAATTTGATCATGGTAACTAGAAAATCAACAGAAAGGTTTTTAGATTTGCAAGTTATTTTCACCTTAAAACACCTAAAAAAAATCCAAGAACCACCTACCAATCCTAAAACACAATAAAACCACTTAAATATATTATCTGGATAAAAAAATAATCTAAATCCATCCTCATCTACCTTTTCAAACATATTTAGAGTAAAAAACCAGTACCGTAAAACTTTCCTTGTTGAATAACAGGCATTAACTAGTCAGAAGCAGTAGAGCTTGTAGTTTGTGGATTTGTTTCTTAACTAACCCATCACACTTGAGCTCAGGCCGAATATAGGATTTGATTTGATCCACCATAATGGATTAAGATTTTCAAAACGACTTGAGCCTGGGTGGGTGCATAGATTAGGCCACCTAGCCCATTATCACCCATCTATTTTTAATGATTAACGTCTGTATTATTATTGTTGTTTCTTGTATATTAAGAGGGCCTCCTCCCATTGCCTGTTATGCTAAAACGATATATTTTCGCCCTCTAATAAACTTAAGAAATAAAAATAAATAAAAATCAATATCCCCTTGACACGAAAATCCAAATCAATCCCAGATAACTAGCTGGCTTGTGATGAGCTACAAGCTATAATAAAGAATCTTTAAAGCAAAAAAAAAAAAAGTAAAGAAAGTTTTTAATAATGTCATTAGTTCCAATATAAAGGTAAATTTTTATCTAATTTGAATTTTAAATTAAATTATTTAAAATTTATATTGATGTGATTTAGTTGATTACTTTATAAATTCAAAAACAATTTAGATAACTAATAAAAATATAATTTGATTTTATAAAGAATTTGAGATAATATTTTGTTTTAATATTAAGAAGACAATGTATTGAATTGATTCAAGTTTTATGATTTAATTCATCAAACTCATGATCCGAGTTATAAACTATATTGTATTTAATAATTTTTTTTGTAATTTTTTTATATAATTATATGATAATAAAAATAGATACTTAAAAAATTAAACACCAATCAAATATTGCGATACTTGTTTGAAACTGCATTAATTTATTGAAAGTAAACTGAAACAAGTTATGAAGTCAATTCAAAATTAATCAAATATTAAAAAATAAAAATAAAAATAAAAAATTAATATTAAATAATAAAATTAAAAAACAAAAAAATGTAATATTAATGGATTATACCCATGTACTTGACTTTAATAAAAACACTCAAGCGCTCCAAGCTTGGAAGCCCAAGCTCGCGCATAGGTTTTTTTAATTTTTCCATAAAAGTGAATGATGAATCATCCACATCTGGATTTTTTTTATATGAATGACAACATAAAATTTGATCATGGTAACTAGAAAATCAACAGAAAGGTTTTTAGATTTGCAAGTTATTTTCACCTTAAAACACCTAAAAAAAATCCAAGAACCACCTACCAATCCTAAAACACAATAAAACCACTTAAATATATTATCTGGATAAAAAAATAATCTAAATCCATCCTCATCTACCTTTTCAAACATATTTAGAGTAAAAAACCAGTACCGCAAAACTTTCCTTGTTGAATAACAGGCATTAACTAGTCAGAAGCAGTAGAGCTTGTAGTTTGTGGATTTGTTTCTTAACTAACCCATCACACTTGAGCTCAGGCCGAATATAGGATTTGATTTGATCCACCATAATGGATTAAGATTTTCAAAACGACTTGAGCCTGGGTGGGTGCATAGATTAGGCCACCTAGCCCATTATCACCCATCTATTTTTAATGATTAACGTCTGTATTATTATTGTTGTTTCTTGTATATATATTCTAAGATATTTTTTTAATTTGGGTTTTTTTTTGAAAAAAACCATTCATATCTAGATTTATATATTAAAAAAAATTCCAATGACTGCTCCTTTAATTCAAATCCTAAACAATAATGTGAAAAACATTATTGATTTACCGATCAGATTAGATTTTTTAAAGAATTTCTGTGTAATTATAAATGTTCTACTATGTCATAAATAGAGTACATCAGTGGGCTGCTGCTGTTTATTTTCTAACCAAATCTTTCACTTCTTTTTCAATTTTCAGCAATTAACAATATTTATTAATACTTCCTCCTCGATTTAGAAGGTTTTTTTAACTGTGAATATTGTTTTTTTAAATATTTTTCATGTAAAAATATATTAAAATATTTTTTTTTTATTTTTTGAAATTTATTTTTAACATAACACATTAAAACATGATAAAAAATAAAATAACTAATTTGTTTTCATTAAAAAACTGTCCTAGCAGCAGCTCTAAACACCCCCCTTTCACCTTCTCACTCTAAAATTTAAAACCTCAAGCAAGCATTCATGACATACTGAGCATTTGGTACTACCGAGTCAAAATTATAATTAAATACAAACAGATATGATAATTACGATAGTTCAATTACCTAACGAAAGGGACCAAAAAATAAAAAAAATAAAAAAAATTAATTGACTACAATTTAAGAAGAAGGAAAAATCCTTGTCGGCTTGGCCCTTACACGTTTCTCTCAGTTCTGCTTTAAAATAATTGCATAGAATGAAGATCTTTGACTTGTCTTTTCTCAAGGAAAGATTTTAGGGCACAAACTCAAAATCACCATGAATGACCAATAAATGCTGCAGCTATTATTTATTGGTTGCATGTGCCCCAATAAATGAATGACTCGAGGAATTGATGCTTGACACTCCTCTCTCTATAATTTTCATGTCGTTTATTGAATGATAGTTTTTAATCTTGATATTTTCTTAGAAAAGGGTGAAAATGAGATTGAGTTATGAATTTCAATGGTTCTTAACAATTACCAAACAAAACTTCTATAAAATCTATTATCTATATATTTTCAGTTATCATACAAATTCAATTAATCCATGCACGTTTATTTTTAGTAATGGTTTTTTGTTATTTTCCTAAAACATTTAATATAAAATATAAAATTGAAGGAAACATGTTTGTTAATATAAATTGAAACTATTTTTTCAAAACATGTATTTTCTATTTCTTTAATTCTCTAGAAAATTTAAAAAACACTAAAAGGATTATCCAAATTTTCTAATGTAAAATTAAGGATTCATCTAATAATTATTCATGTCATTTTTGT